CAGGGTGGCTGGGGGACGGGAGAAGCAGGAGGCGTTGCCCATGGCGTAGCTATATCAACACTAGGGATGTTAAAAAGCGGGTAACTGGGTGAAAACCTTCTAAGCAGCTCCACGCACCTGCAGCCTGCATTGGCTCCCGGCTCCTGACATGTACTGGCTCCCCCCCCCTAAGGAGCTGGCTGCCACCCTGCAGTGTAAGCCCTGATACAGAGGCCATGGTGCAGGATGGCAGCTGACTCCCCAAGAGTGGGGCAGGAACCTGCATGTAACCGTTCCCGTACCGATAACACCAGAGTGATCAGTTAACTGTTTAAATGGTTATTCTGTTACATCCCTAGTCAGCACTTGACTCGTTAAGCAAAACAAGGCCAATGCCTCAGTACGCACATATCCCTTGGGCTGGTGCAGCCTGAATAGGCACAGTGGATACCAGCCACAGACTGAACCTTCTTGAGGTCTGGCTTTGAAACAGCGGGTAATGGTGCACCATGGGTGCTGCTATTGGTCATGCCACTGAAACGATGCTCCCAATCAGAAGGGTTTCATTATGTGACTTCAAATGTCTCCTGCACAAATCTTAAATGGTGAATGAAAATGGAAGAAAACTTATTCAGTTCATAATCATAAAACCCCAAATAGGATAAGGATCTTTTAGTTACTGCTTGGGAGGGAGTTACCAAAAATTTCAATCCAAATACTAGTTTGGAAGTCAATTTTATCTAGTATAGGCTAAAGTATTCTGCTGTATAGCTGAGTAATTTACCTTGCTAAGATCATGCATAGGGTTCAAGGGTTATATATTTGGAATGAGTAAAACAAATGAGGAATCCTGTGGCACCTTAAAGGCTAACTGATTTATTGGGGCAAACCACTTTGTCAAATGCATGGTAAAATGTGTGTGTGCTGATGCATTGGCCTTGTTGGCTTAAAGCCTGAAGTTCAGGTGTTGATATAGCTGCCATATTTGAAACATTTTTCATTATGCTGCAGTTGCAGACTAACATGACTATACTGATTCATAGAATGAAATGAAACAGATATACATGAATATGTGTAATTTTTTGCATTACATAACCACATTTCACTCTTTTTTCCTAATGTGATTTACTGACACAGTGGTAGTGGATACTCTCTTCGAAGTAAGATTAGAAGTGAATGAATTAGAATCAATTTAAATCATCTTTCTAAACAAGTGGTTATATATTTGCTTATAGCATGATTGAAACTTTGTTCTGCTCTGGCTGTTCAATGACCCTTGGGAACATCTACAGATGCACCCCAAAACATCTTGACTATAAGCGAGATTTATTTTGCTTCAGTGTTGACTCAATTGACAGGTAAGGATGAGACCAAATGATTCAAGTTGTCAAATATGCTAATTGATTTTTGCCTTTTAGATTAAATGCCAGGTAGTTTGGGTTCATTACTTCACACTTTTAGCAATCAGATATTTATGTAAAGCTTGTATTAAGGTGAGTATGTGGGAGGGTATTTGGGAAAGGTTATGGATTACTCCTCTAATCTCCTTTTGTTCAAGAACAGTATTCTGTATTGTGGAGCAGGCAAAATATGGGCTGTCGCCAATGTCTTGATCCTTGAATAGGCACCGTGCCTGCTATACCCCCATGTGCCTTTCAAAGTGGCCAGCTGTTGGTGCTTGTACATCACAGCACCAAGGGCCCCATGTGGGGGCATGGAGGCTTCATTCACTGCCTGCACCTCAGCAGAGTCTTGTAGCTCCAATTGGCTAGAAATGTGTGAAGTTTCCCCTTCCCCAAGAGGTGTGTAATGCAGAGATGCCTACTTAAAGCTGCTGGCTACTTGGATCACATGCAAGTCTTGCTAGGCTGTTAGCTGGGAGTCACCTAGGGTAAGTGCCTCCTCGTTAGAACCTGCACCTGGCACCCTGTCCCCTTCCTCCCCCCAACTTTCTGCCCTGGTCACAATCCTAACCTTCTGAACCCCCTCCTACACTCCAGTCCCTCACTCCCCCCTCCCTCCTTCACTCAACCTCCATCCCAGATCCCACACTCCCTCGATTAACATAGAAAAGTGCAGCTCTTGACCACTTCCCAAATTTTTGGAATGGCCCCTCATCTATTGCCCACCCCATGTTAATGTCTCCCTTACCACAGGACTAAGGTTGTGAAAATATTCCATGTATAATGTTGCCCAATACCTGATATTTACAAATTCTTGGGTGTTCTTTTATATAATAAAACTCACAAGTGTATAAAATTACACTAGGTGCCCAACGCAACCAGAAGGTGCCTCTACTTCCAGTCTCATTTGAAAGACTCTGCACACAGATGCCATTGTGATTGCTCACTAAGTGCAAATGGATTCAGATCCATCTTAAGTAAAATTTGTTCTATCTAAACTCAAGGAAAAAGCAGAATGACAATGAGATGGTGAAAAGTGCAACTAAATGTAGCCTTTATACTAAATTTTGTGCTTTTTGCTAACCAGAGAGATATACTATCTACAGTTAACCAGTCATATAGCTTAAAGTACATTTATATAGTTAATCTTTTACTTGTGATTTAAGCACTATTTCTGTGAAAATTCAGATTTAGTTAAAGATGCACAGAATATAATTCCTTTAGATAAAGAAGGTAAATAAAGTATTGGGTGTAGTTAATTAATTGAACTGGTTCTAATCACAGTGTCCTTCAAATGTAGAACTAGCAGTTCTTTGAGTGCTTGCACATGTCCATTCCCACATAGGTCTGTACACCCCCCAAGCACTGTTGCTAGAATCCATGGGGCCTGCCAACGATATAGTGGTCCTCTTGGAACCCTGGAGGATTTTTCTTTTCTTGAGGCAACCTCTTGAGGCACTTGTACTCTGTTTAGGAGAGAAATTTTTCAGAGAGTGGTCCTGTAGCACCTTAAAGACTAATAAAAATATAGTGAGTATCATAAGCTTTTGTGGAAGATGTGGGTGTTCCCAGGAAAGCTTATGATACTATCTTTATTTTTTGTTAGTCTCTTAAGTGCTATGGGACCATTTATTATTTTGTAAGTTACTTTGAAATAATTGCACATAAATGTTGTAAACAAAATTATTTCTATGTTCTTATGCCCAGAATAGTAAACTTACTCTTTTTAAGAATTTTCAGTTTATCCCATGACAAACCAGTACCAGTATATCACAAATTATCCATTTTGTAGGAAAGGTGTTGGAACGATCTGAACATTCTTCAACTTCAGAAAAAACAAACATTTCATTTGATTTTTGTGCTATTACCACATCTTAAAGTGTCATATAGCTTATTAGTTTGTGCAGACATCTTAAGTAAAGGGCCAGCAAAGACATAGGTACTGAATGTGAGGAATTCGAGTCTGGGTTTGAACAAAACAGTGTTGAGTACCGTGTGCGTACATGAGGTCAACAAGAGGCCCTGGTGAATACAACACTGGATTGGCACTCTAAAGACCTACTTTCTGTTATTGGCCTTGCCTCTGAGTTTCTGGACAGGTCCCTTCCCCTCTTTGTCTCTTTTCCCACCTGTAAAATGGAATAAAGATATTGACCTACTTGGTAAAGTACTTGGAGATATACAGATAAAAAGCATTTGATAAAAGATTATATGTACAATAATAAAAGTGTATGTATGTGTCAAAAGGTGGAGTAATTAACCAAATACCAATGATAAGACTGTACACACACACACACGCGCACATACACACACGCTCTCTCTCTCTCTCTCTCTCTCGCTCTCTCTCTCTCCGTCCATCCATAGTAAATAAGGTTTCCTTTCCTTTTCCTCTTTCATGAGTGATATGTGATGGCTATAAGGATGATTGCTACTGGGTAGCCAACAGGGACCATACTTTTGTGAAAAGAAGCCAGGCTCTATATCCAGGTACCTAGGGCTTTTGAAGAAATTCACCACAGGGCAGAGAACCAGCCCAATGCCCATCCATCTACTCTGGGATCTCAAATGAACCGAATGTCTGGCCCTCGGAACAGGGATGAAATTTTCTCTGTTAACAGAGAGCTCCTCTTTGATTATCTTTGCTTTGCTTATAATAATCTGTTTACTGCAATCATATCTTTGGTAAATCACTCCACCTTTTGACATTTGTGACACACTCTCTGCAGTTCTGTATTTCTTCGTGTGCAAGAACAAACACCACTGGGTTTAAACCAAAGCAATGAGGGGCAAAACCCCAAAATGGTTTAAATTTCCTTTCAGATTTCCATTAAAATGTTGTCTCATTCAGGGATGTCTCAACAAAGATCACGTGACCTAATGTGAAACCATTGTTTCACATTAAAATTCAATCCAGTTCAAAGTTTCTGAGTTTTTAGGCTGCTGAGGAGGCAGTTCTGTGGTAAAAAGAAGCAGAGAGAGGAGTCAGAAAGAAAACAACAACAAAATATGGGGGGAGGGGAATTGCAGCGTAGAAAGGACACTGATGTGAGTAAAAAGGTTAAAATCCATTAGAACTCAAGTTGACACACACATTTGGAGAACATGATGATAGTTGGAGTGCTGTTCAGAGGCACTGGAAAAAGCACACATACTCAGTATTGCTGACTTCAGGGTAGCTCTTCAGTAATCTCTTTTTCACACAGGGGCATGCACAAATGTAGGAGCTGATCCAGATCTCACTGAAAGTCTCCCTTTTGCTTCAGTGGGCTTTGGATCAGACCCCTGTGTCCTGCCTTCACGGGCGTGAGATGAAACTAAGTATTAAATAATGCAATGGGATGGCTTTTTACTTCCACTACTACTGCTGTGTTATTAAATGAGCCTCCTGGGTTTTTAATCCTTTCTTTTGATTCTTTCCATGTAGAGCCCCCGCCGGTGGTTCAGGTTCCTAATAATGTCACAGTCACCCCCGGGGAGAGAGCCATACTGACCTGCCTAACCTTAAGCACAGTGCGTTACAATCTCACCTGGCAGAGAAATGGCAGGGACCTGAAGCTTGTGGAGCCCTCCCGAATAAGGATGATGAGCAATTTGTCTTTAGATGTAAAATCTGTAAAGCTCACTGATGCTGGCGAGTACAGTTGCACTGCTTCCAATGAAGGTGGATCTACCATGGCTTCTGTCTTCCTCACAGTGCAAGGTAACAAAGAAGATGCATTTAATCATTTGGAGCATGTTTCTTTTCTTTTTTCTCCTCCCCACTTTTTTTCTCCTCTTGATAACAAATTTGCTTCTTTGGGCAATTTGGTGAAAGCCTCTGGAAACTGACAGACCCTTTCCCCCTGCCACAAAAAAACAAACAAACAAACAAAAAAAACAAAAAACCACCCACATGCAC